AGGAAAGGCTTAATGGAGGGATTGAGGTCAAGGTGTGCAGAGACAGAGCTCAGGTCCCTTGCTTGGGGGAAGGTGGATGAAAGCTACCTATCCAGCCTGTGAGTTGATCCTCAATGGCCAGTCAAAGTCTTCTCCAGTGAGGTGTTGTCCAGAGTGGGTCACCGGCAGGGCCTCTAGGTAGGTAGGTGGTGTAGCATAGTGCTGGTCCAGATGGAGAGGGCGTCCCAAGGAGGTCATATTCTATCACCCCTTTAATAGGGGTGGGCTACCTGTGACTCCACTGGGGAGGACACGCCCAGGCAAGGGCCAGTCCTGCTCAGATGAGGTCATGCCGTTCCAGGTGTCCTCAGTGTCCGGTGGGATACAATGGTGGAGTTGCTGGTTTCTGTTCTGTTCTTTGTTCCCATGTTGCTGGTTTCTTGGAGGTTCTTTATCTTTCCAATACTGGGTTTTGTCTCTGGTCCTGGGAGTAGGTCTGTGGTTTCAGGGAGAGTCAATGCAAGGCGATGGTCTGGTCATTAAGTTGATGGCCTGGTTATTAAGGTGATGGGTCCAGTCTCATGCATCCTCATTCACTCTCATTCATCGAGGAACCAGTTTACATAGGAGAGGTAGCTTCGAGTCACAGTTACAACACAATTACAATACTGTATGCCCAGGCAGGGCACACAAAATGGACACTTGACATTACAAGATGGAGACTTGACATTACTTTGGCTTACTGTACAGAAACAGGCTTAAATCATACAATATCAATATAAAACAGTAAAATTGAATACAAGCATAATAGGAATATAATATAAAACAGTAAAAATCAATATATTTACAATATAAAAAGGGGCTTGTTATAATAATGGCATACAAGAACTTAGCTTAGCTTACCTATAACTACCTATAACTACTTATAAGGGATAGAGGGGGCAGAGAAAGAGTCAGAAATGGTTGGGGAAGGGCAGGAAATGTATTTTTAAGCACAAAAAAAAAAAAAAGAAAAACCTGGAGGTTTTGCTACATCTGTATATGACCGTGGATTAATTTAAATCACTCCAAATTGGCAAAACACATCTGTGTATATTTTTCTTTAGGTATCAGCAATGGTATATTGTCCATATGTTACTTGCTAAAAATAATGTAAGAGATAATAGGGTGAATGAATAGGCTTTTTCATTGATTTCCGCCCCTCACCACCTCAGCTTGGTATGCATAATTTTAAGTGTGGGGACTGAGCAACTCCATTGTATTAAACAAATAAAATGTTCTCATAGTTTTCAATGCTCATAGTTTTTCTTGCAGATGGAGTGTGCTTGTATCAGGGGTGTCAAATGCATCTCGTTTATCATCATCTCTAAGCCTGGACTGGACTTCAGGGCTCCTTGTGGGCCAAATCCAACCTGATGGTAGCAGTGGGAAGAGCAGCAATGGCATAAATAGTGGCAGGGGAAGTGATGCTGTCTTTTCACAGTTGTTGCTCACCCCCTTGCTACTGAAGTTCATCCCCAACAGAGCTCTGAATTCTGTGGCAGGATCCATTCCACCACCCAACCCCATGCTCTCTACCCTGAATTTCTGGGCCCTTCAGGACTCCCATGTGCCACAGGAAATGAATCCATGGGTTGTCTGGCCTACGAGCTAGGTATTTGACATTCTTGCTCCAGATGGTTCAAATGTAATTTTCTAACTCCTTTCAGTTTACATGTAAGACTACAGACAAGTATGGTACTGGACTGAGAAAGTTACCTAGTCTAGAAACAATCATTTGTATTTTATTTTGTGACATAATTTACATTCTCCTTAGCTTTGGCTTCCAAGCTCTCTAAAAAGTAATCTACCAACCAATTAGTATCCTGTACTATAAACCTAAATCAAATATAGTTTCAGAAGGTCTCTGCTTTAGAAATGAACTTTTGGAAAACTGTATTGATTTTGTAAATTAAAAATGTAAAATTGAATGAAAGGAGGTCAAGCAAAGGACTGACCCAGGGAAGCAATCTTTAAATGAGAGCTGCCTTGGATTCAACACAGGGGAGGCAAAAAGAAGGCAAGAAAAGGGATTCATTTGCAAATGACCTGCAATTGCAAAGTCATTCACTTCCCAAATAGGATTAAACTTGTTCCATCAGCCATGACAACTGAAAAGATCATGGTTATAAATTCCATTTGCCGTAATGAATTGAAAGTGTCTGAGTTTGCAAGCGGCACTCATCATTGATGGACAGTTAGATTTGTGCATCATTTTTACACTAAAATTAGCTTCCACAAAATGTAAAGTATAGAAGGGGCGGCAGCTGTGCCAGAGTTTAAAGCATAAACAATTTATTTGTTATTGAGGGTTGAATAGTGGTAGAAGCAAGCAATGATTCCATGCCTGCTCTTTAAATAAACTTTCTTTGTTTTAAGCAAATCTGAACACATAACTGAAAAGAGTCTCTAGTGAGATTTAAACAAAGAAAAGTGGATGAATCCTTTCCTGACACACTGCATATCAGAAATAAGAAAATGTTGTGTTTAGGAAATACTTTCTTCTCATCTACTTGGATATAAATCAGCACCAACTCCCCTACAACCAATGGAACCACATTCATATGTAAGCTTTAAAAGTGGAAATAATAATCAGACTTAGAGATTAATCTCAGTCTTGCATCTGAATTCAAGAGTGAGACCATGTATTGACAGATCTAAATGCTGAATTGGGACCCAAGTCCACAGGCTTCCAGTGCGTTCATTACACACACTTCTAATCTTGCTTTGTTTGCTGTAGACTAGGTATGATTATCAGTGGATGAAAACTGCTCATATGCACTGAAGAAAGATGGCCATTTATAATTGGTAAAGTACTCTGTAGTGCTGCTGAAAACTGTCCAAGATGTTTTTTAAACAGTTCTAGCTAAACAGAATTATCCATTTTTATGAACACCATGAAAATATAACAGCTTCTCAATTACTGCAAGGTTAACGTATAATTAATTTGCTAATTTTAATTACAACCCTCCAAAATATACTGCATAAATGCTCAGAGGAGAACAACAGCCAGGTGCCAACAGTAATCAGCCAAGGTTATTACAGATTAGAAGGTCTGTAGCAACCATGTTAAGGAAGATTTTAAAAAACCTTTGTAAAAGCAACACATGTTTATTGAAACTCTGCAGGGAATAACACTTGCTGTCTACTTCTGCTTCTGCAAAATTATGGGTATTGCCACTTGCTTCACTCTTTCCTGGCTTAGCGTATAATTGCAGTTGAAACATATGATTGCCTTTTCTTTCTGTCACATGCTGTTATCTTTGTACTATGTATTGACTTTCATCATATAAACTGCATGAAAAATTTAATTACAACAAGATATTAGTCAATGTTTACAAAGTAGTATGAACATGTAAAGTTTTGTGTTTCTGCTGGGTAGCTTAGTAAACTCTAGAACAGAAATCCAGTTGGTGAAAATGTGTCTTTCTATGCCAGCTCTGTACTGGAATGACCATTTTGGGTGTAAGCATATCTTGATTAAGGCTAATATTACCTTTGTTCATGTTAGCTAAGATTCTGTAGTCTAACCAATTTATTCGGACCAAAAGAACTTTCTCAGTCCTAGAGCTTGGCCAGGAGCCTAGTCTCTTTTTTCAAAGACAAACAGAATAGTAGAGACAAGGCGTGTGCAAAGCGGGCCCTGTTTGGTTCGGATTCGGATTTGGCCCAAATCAGGGACAGTGATTCGATTTGTTGATTTGGATCGCTGTCCCTGATTCGATTCGGCCAAATCTGAATCTGAAGATTTGATGCTGATTCAGAGAATCAGCGATTTGGGCATAGACACAGCTTTAAAAGTTTTTTTCTACATACCTTGAGGTACCAGCGCAAAGTACTTCTGATCCACTTCCAGGTCTGCTGGGGAGTGCACCCCCCGCATGCCCCTCCCAGCTCAGCAATCAGCTGTGGGGGGACCCTGGGTGTCCCCTGCAGACCCAGGAGGCACCAGTCACTGAGCCAGGAAGGCACAGTGTGTGTGTGTGGGGAGGGGGGGCAGTGTGCTCCATGGCAAACCCGGAAGTGGTCCACTTCCAGTTCGCCGCTGAGCACTCTGGGGAGCTTCTGTGGGACTCTCCGTGTGCTCCAGCATTGCAGCATTCACAAGCCCCCTGCTACCTAGAGGTATATAGAAAAAACATTAATGCTGTCTCTATGTCCAAATCTCCAGATCTTTCCAAATCAATTTGGAAGCTTCCAATTCAAATGAGAGAGATTAAAGGGTCCTTTGATTCGATTCGGATTTGGAGATTCAGCCACCGAATAGGGCTGAATCTCCACCAGATCAAATCAGGAACCGAAGCTTTGCACAGCCCTAGTAGGGACCATTTTGTGCAACATGATATCAGCCAGTGACAGACGCCATACTTTTTTACTCTGTAGATGACAGCATCACCTTCAGTACTCCTGTCTAGGAAAACCCCTAGAAAGATTAATCTCTTGAGTTTAAATATGCATTATTTTGAAAGGCAAGTGCAAAACAGATGTAATGAACTTGAGAATCATGTCCACTAGACCTATTTGTGTAACAAAGATAATATTGTAGAATAGTGGCAAAGTTGGGCCCCCAGAATCCTATTTATACTAGAACACCTGAGTAATCCAGTTGTTTTACAAAGAAAAAGAAATGATCTTTGTTTTAGAAATATGAGAAGATAGGGTCATAATCTCTAAGTAGATCTATGCCAAAACATTTTAGACAGAAAGAGTTAGTTCCTTGCCTCTAAATAAAGACAGCTTACTTGTATTTTACATTTTAAATTCATAGTAAAAATTTTCAGTTGCATTTTATGCTTCAAGTTCCATAACTTATTATTGTTCTTCTTGTTGTTGCATCAACTGCATGTTAAGTGTTTGTTCTTTGGAGCCATTACAAAACATGATCCATATTTTTAAAAGAAGACTTTTTTAAAAAAGCATCTAAAATGTTGGTGTCAAAGGAAATTAATTTCCTGGCTGGCTTGTGTTTTTCTCTGAGGCAGATATTGATGAGTGTGCAGAGGGGATCATTGAGTGTCACAACCATTCACGCTGTGTTAACCTCCCAGGGTGGTACCACTGTGAGTGCAGAAGCGGTTTCCATGACAATGGAACCTATTCTCCTTCCGGAGAGTCCTGTATTGGTAAGCGATGCTCAGCACAGAACTTTTTTTTATTTCTGCATGGTGTCATACACTCACTATTTAGGATGGCATGTCATGAACGGTTACTGTATTTAAAGCTAAAATTAAGATGTAACCAACCATTTGTTAAGCTCATCATTACCCTTAGTAATGCAATGTAGATATTAGTACAAAAGACATGAACCATCACATTTCTGAATAGTCATATGGAAAGGAGACAATCAGAGGTCAAAACTGTGACTTGCCATCCTTAGCCATTTATCACCATATGCCACTTGGAAAAACTGAAATAATGCATCCGTATCTAGCCTTTTTTGCCATTGTAATAAGCTACAGAAGGTAGGCACTGCTTTTCAACTTGCTGCTTTCAAACTACAGCAAAAAGATACAGGGTATTTAATCATAAGTCAAGCATTCTTTTATTTGTTTATTTTGTATTGTTGTCTGCTTTTATCTTGTTTTATTTTTAGGGCTATACAAAATATACTGCAACAGGTTTTTTGTTTTGCACATACCATATTTATAGGCTAAGGTCATAAGAATATGGATTTGAGAGTATTTTCTGAAGTGTGTAGGATCACATTTGTTAGGCTTTGTTGCTAAGATCACACAATGTTAGGCTTTGTTGCTAAGACTTAAAGTGAGAACAGAACAAGACCTCTAGGTATGTACTGCTGTTTCTGCTGCTTACCTGTGCTGTGTGACCTTGACTGGGTTGCTTTGCCTTTAGACTTTGCACTAGGTATTGTGGTAGAATTGTACTATTCTTTACGCACCCAACCAGCACTTACCCAGCACTTTCTACAGTTAGCAATCCTATACCATTTGCGGTGTGGATACATGAGTGCCCTTACAGCTCCTACGCATCCTCAGTAGGCTGCATTCTGCCAGGGCTCTGCATTGGAGTACCTGAATGAGCAAAAATTCTGAATCCGCAGGTGTTAGAACAGGCAGGGGGTTCTCTCAGTTTTTATAATGGTTAGGGCATGCTTGTGAAAGAGATCCATATTAGACTGGCGGAACCATATCATCCAGGCCTTGGTGTTGCCCAAGGGTATTGGACTGTAGCCATGCACTGTGTGAGGCACCCGTCAAATCAGTCCCATGTGCTGCATAGGAAGTGTGGGGCCAGTCTGATGTACATTGTAGGACCTGTCTGGGGCATACGCTGCCATTGTATTTGGAACTGGTCCAGATCACATATTGGTGGCTGTGCTTAGGCCTGGGCTAAGACACAGGCCATGTTTGGCGCCAGTCCTGCTCTTAGGGCCCATCCAGGGCTCACACTACCAGCAGTGCCATGCTGCAACTGGACCCGAGACCAGTAAAGAGCACACACTGCCCACAGCACCATGCTGAAATGGCCCCACATGTCTCATCCAACATGCAGAGCCAGTCTGCAGGCCCAGTTCATAAGAGGGACTGGCTCAGCACCACTCATCAGGCCCACAGGGTTTGACTTCTGTGGGTTGGGGCATTCACCCAGGAAGCAGGAGATGTGTTCTAGGCCTGCCTCATGCAGAGAGGTTTTGAACCTACAGGTTCTGACTTCCCATAGGTCAGGAAG